GGATTATTTCCTCTGCAGAGGGGGGATATCAAACCTATTTAGGGGATATTCAGGGTTTTTTTAGCTGGGCCCTGGTGCCCTGGGAATTAATTCCAACCACAGTGGGAAAATAAATCACTGGGGAGCTGAGAAATACATATGATAATTGGGGGATTTGCATAAAAGCTATTTCTGGCCCTTTCTGACATGATGGATGTTGCTGGTTGAGGTTTCTCCTGGGGTTATTCCCACCTGGAGCCAAAAAAAAAAAAAAAAAAGAAAAAAAGCCATGTCCAAGCTGATGGAGGGAGAAGGGTCCCTCCAGGGGATGATTTATCCCAAATCAGGGTGAAACTCTGGAGCCTGGGGAGCAGGGAAATGAGGAATGTGGAATGAGGAATGTGCTTGGAAAGCTTCAGGTTAGAACTGCAGTTCTCCTGGAGAGAATTATTGTGGATTTTTCTCCTCAGAATGTGACTGAACTTCCAATCACTTTGGAATCAGGAGTCCCGTCCCATTTTCCTGCTTTTGCTGATTGTTCCTTGTCACTTCAGCAGCTCCAGGTTTGAGGGTGCTGGTAGCTCTAACAAATCGTTAAATAATTAAATAAAATAATAAAAATAAATACTTAAATTTAATTAATTACATTTCCAGCTTTCAGAGAAAAAAAAAAAAAACAAAAAAAACCACCCAAAACAACCCAGGAAAATGAGTAAATAAATACAATATTCAGCATCCAAATCTTGTGCCACGAGGTTGCAGGCTTGAGTGTGCTGGGATGTAATTAGTTGTTTAATTAGGGTCAGACTGCTCAGGATGAAGCTCCTTGAGTGGCTGAAGTAATGCTGTGTGCAGATCTGCAGCTTGATGTTCTCTGGATTAATTGCATTATTCCAACATTTCATGCTTTTGTAGCCTGCACAGGTTAATATTTGGGTACTAGACACAAATCAAAGTCGTCTGAAGCATCACCCAAACTCCTGGTTCACCATCCTGGGGCGCTGGGGGAAAATCCTGCTTTTCACAACAGCAAAAATCTCTAAATTTCATTTTCTGTGCATTGCAAAAATCCTGTGTTCGTTCTTAGAAAAGAAAACACAGGACAGCTCAGCCTGAACTGTATAAACACCTTTTTTTAATTCTTTTTTGTTTGAACTTTGAGGGTTTTATCCCCCTGGGAATCCACACCTGCTCAGGTTTTGCTGATTATAAAAGCAAGGAAGGGCGAGAAGAAGATTTTGGGTTTCCTGGGCTTCGGTTCCTTGCCCCAAACTGAGGTGGGACGTGGCCCCAGAGCTCCTCGGCACTCACCTGCTCCTTCTCCTTCCCGACTTTTGCTGATTTTGTGTTGTGTGCAGCAGCTGAAAGAAGCACCAACCCACATTTGGGGATTTAATCTGTTTAAAGTCAGGATATTTATTGAATTTGCAAAGGTCTCGTGCATTTCAGTGAGTTTAGTGCCTTTTTTTTTTTTTTTTTTTTTTTTTTTTTTTCTGGTCAGGTAAAGCGTCCAAGAAACAAAACTCCATTGATTTCTGCAGATGGGGGATGTGAAACTCTTCTCTAATTTAATTAATCCCTTCTTTTTCTGTTTGTTCAGCCTGTCCTAGGCTGGGTTAAGGACTCTGCCCCTAAATTGGATTTGAAAAGCAAAGATTCCCAAAGCAGCTGAGAGCCTTGGAGCACAAACTTCTCTGGGAGTCCTGCTCCTAAATGATGCAGAGGGGCTGCAAAAATCCAAAATTTGGGTGGAACGGGAGAGGAAAAAACAGGGATTATGGATGTGGAGATGCTGAGGATTGTGTGTGCCAAAAATCCATAAATTCTCTCCTGCTCTGACCACGACTCAGGAGAATTTCCTGAGCCACAAATTAAAATACTCAGCGTTTACTCCATGCCCAGAATTGCAGATTTTGGGTGGGAAAAGGCACCTGGAGATCCCAGCACACAAATATCGATATCAGTGAAAGCACCAGGGCAGGCAGGAGATTAAACAGAGGCGATCCAAATCACCTGTAAAAATCCTCTTAAAAAAAAACAAACAACTTTTTGGGGATGTTCGGGAGATTTTGATGCTTGTAGAAGCTGCTGCGGGATCCGTGAGCAGGGCGGGGCTTGGTGTTGATTGATTGATTGTGCTAATTGTGTTAATTGCGGCGTGGTTTTGGCAGGTGATCAAACTCACCTTCGAGGAATTCGAGCTGGAGAGAGGCTACGACACGCTGACAGTGGGGGATGGAGGCCAGGTCGGAGACCAAAAAACTGTTCTTTACGTGTGAGTAACAATTCCCTCCTGCTGGAATGCACCTGGCCAGGTGGGGCTGGTTTTTGGGGACCCGCTGCTTTTTGGGCAAGTCGTCACTTTTGGGGACAGAAATTGTCCCCTCTGTTCTTCCCTCCCCCTTAGGGAGAGGCTGAGGCTCTCCAGGGAGCTGGGAAAAGCTGGGATACAAAAGGAAAAGCAGCCCAGGCAGCAGCAGGAGCAGTTTGGATCTCTCTCTCTCTCCTGCTGCCATCATTTTGAGCTGTAAATCCAAGATTTTTGGAGTGACATCCCCAACATTTCTCACCCAGGGTGCGTCTGGGGCAACGAGGCTTCTTCCAGGCTGGGATTTGGGATTTTTGCATCCTTTTCTTGCAGACCTGATGTTCTGTGGAGGTTTCTTCATGTGCAGATGGTCCTGCTTTCCCTCCAGGCTTCTCCAGAGCCACTCCAGCAAAGCTGGTGTGCTCTGACAACTGATGGAGAAATTAATTGTATTTTTTTTTCTTCTTCTTCTTGTTTTTCCACATGATGCAGCCTCCCACTCCATTTCCACATATCAGCATTTCTTTGTCTCTCCCAAACATCTTTTTCCCCGAGGTTTTGTTTCTTCCCAGCACGTGGACAGGGGTGATCCTTGGTCAGGAGCCCCAGCCTGGAATGTGGAGGTTGAGGTGTAATTCAGGTGTCCCAGAACATTTCACAGCCTGCAAAATCCCTGCCATGGATTTGGTAGAAATTCCTGCCACGATTTCCCGTTCCAGCCCTTCTAGTTTGCCTAAGACCTACAAAGATTTTCCTTAGGTTGGATTTTAATCATTCCTTGTTTTTTCCCCATTCCCTGTTATCTCCTCAGCACTTTGCTGATGCAAATTTGGAATATCTGTGACTGAGCAAGGTGCAGTGCAGGAATCTTTTCCCAGGAAGTTTCTAGTAAATTCCTGGTGATAATCCTTCCAGTGAATTTTTTTTATTATTAATAATAATCTGGGAGGATTAATTGAAAAGCAATTAAATGGGAGAGAGGTGTGAAGACCACGGTGCTAATTAATGCGCTTGAAAGTCCATGGATCACTTTTCTCAGAATTTTCTGCCCACTCTCAGCTGGATTCCCAGATCAGGAATAATATCTGGATACAAAGAGAGGTTTCTTTGGAAGAATCAAAATGCAGAAACTCCTGTCAAAGGCAATAATTCCAATTTTCTTCCTGCTCTTCACTTCCCCTTGGCTGTCGAGGAGCTCAGCCCTGCTGCCTTTCCAATCAAGGAACGCACTTGAGTGGAGTTGCACAGCAGCAGATTCCATCCCAAACAGAGCTGGGAAGGACCATTTGTTTCCAGGCTCATTCCCATCCCTGGAAAATGGGAGCAGAGCAGATTGTTAGGCTGAGCTTCCTGACTTGCAGAAGAAATTTGATTTCCTGAAGTAACAAGCACCCAAATCAATCACCCAGCTTGTTAAAAGTGGGGTGGCAAAGGATGCAGAAAGCTTTGAAGCACCTTTTCCTGGGAGGTTTTTTCCTCTTGGAGTGTTCATCATTCCTGCCCGGCTGCAGTTTCAGTAAATAAACTGAGAATTGACAATAACACTCCTGAACATCTCTGGGATGCAAAACAGGCACTAAAACCAAGATCACTTCTTCATTTAACAGCACCCTGGGATCAATAAAATTCCTGCTGCAGGTCAGAGCAATCACAGGGCAGAGCTTGGCTGGGACTGTGATTGCAGACAAACAAAAACCACTCCAGGCCCCAGAGCCTGGCTGCTGCAGGTTCCCTGTCCTGGGGCCTGTGGGGTGCCTGGCATGGGGAGGAGAGGCCTGGGATGTCCAGGGTGCTCCCATTTCCCTGAGATCCCTGCCCTGGAAAGGAGCTGGCACTCGCTCGGGGTCTGGGTGCTGGGATGACCCCAGGAGTGTCAAAGTCCTCATTTCCAGCCCGTGCAGCCACAGATGGAGTCTGAAATGTGTAGGATTGACTCCTCGGGGTTGTTTGTTTTTCCTTAGCTATAACATTCTTTCTCTGACCTGTTGAGCTCTGTCCAGCGAGGAGGCCGTGGCATTCTGTCCCCAGCCTCGGGTGGAATTTACATTTTATATCAAAAATTATGAGTAGTATGTTTACAATATTGTGCCAATATCTATCATTTATGTTGGACAGTGAGTCTCTACCTTAAACCAGCAGCAAAGTGTCACCATCACACCAAGACATGGAGGGCAAGGAGAAGGAGAAAAAGGTTGGGACACACCCAAATCCCTCCATCTTGTCCCCTTGAACCCCATTCTAAAAACCCTAAAATTCTACTTTTTCACTCTGTGTCAACTCAACTACCACATTACTCAAAACCTTGTGGCTTGTAATTCCTCATACGGAGTTGGCAGCTTTTTCCACTGGCTGAAATGGAAGCCACGGGTGTTTTTGACTTCTTGCCAGGGTCTGGAGACAGCCAGGGCAGCCAGAGGGATGTGCTGGACTCCGACAGCACTTGGCAGGGAGCAGGTTAATGTCACCTGCACTGGGTGGGCGACACAGCCCTGGGAGCTGCCTCGGAGTCCTGGAATGGTTTGGGGTAGAAGGATCTCAAAGTCATCCAGTGCCATGGCAGGGACACTTCCACTGTCCCAGGAGCTCCCAGCCCCGTCCAGCCTGGCCTTGGGCACTGCCAGGGATCCAGGGGCAGCCACAGCTGCTCTGGGCACCTGTGCCAGGGCCTCGCTGCCCTCACAAGCAGGAATTTCTTCCCAACATCCCACCCAGTTCTCCCCTTTTCCAGCTGGAAGCCATTCCCCCTTGTCCTGGTGCTGAGCCCCTCTCCAGCTCTCCTGCAGCTCCTGCCAGGCGCTGCCAGGGCTCCACTCCACCTTCCCTTCTCCAGGATGAACATTCCCAGCTCCCCCAGCCTGGATCCTGTCCCTTTATCAGCTTCACATCCCTCCTCTGGCCCTGCTCCAGCAATTCCATGTCCCTCTTCCATTGAGTTCACTTTTATCCAGGAGCCTTTCAAGTGTTGCTGTTGTACCTGGGGCCAGACCCAACCCAGAGCTGAATTTGGATTTATTTAAACCCTGCAGGAAAGATTAAAAAACCCTCTCACCCCCTCTCCACTTGCTCTTAATTTCTGAATTTCTCGCAGATAATACCTCAGCAGAAACAGGATAATCACAACATTAAACACAGGCAACACAAGAGCCCTGCTCCTGGAATAATCACCCTGCCCACACAAATGCTGTTCCTGCTTCCAGGAGCACAGGGGAGGGAGCCGAGCTCCACGTGGGCATCTGCCTTGTGCAAAAATGCTCCTGTGGGTGGGGGAATAAAGCTCCAAAGCTGTGTTGAACCACCACGAGGTGATTAATCCCAGAGGCTGAATGAGCCTCATTAACAGGGAGAGATCAGCAACATTTCCCTAAATCTGCTCAGCCCTGCTGGGAGGATCCCGAGGGGAAGGCAGAGCCCCGATCCTGCTGGGATTAGTGGCACTTCTCAAGGGGTGTTCAAGGGGCTCGTGCTTTGTCTGCTGGGTGCTTTTTTTGATTTTTTCTTTTTTGATCCTTGTAGAAACTTCTCCCAGGGCAGCAGTGGAACAGGGAACTGGTGGGAAGTCATTTTCTGTGCCAGGGCAGTTCAGAGGATTCAGTCACTCAGGGCACAGTTTGGCTTCTGGGAATTTTATTTCTTTGCTGATGTTTTGCCTCAGCAAGCAGGGAAACGATTCCTTTTGCTGCTGGGTGATCTGTTCCAATACCAGCAGTGAATTGTAATTATTGCAGGAAGGGTGGTGGGGAAAGATTCAGCATGGGGGCAGAACATGACAAGATTTTCATCAGGCTCAAAAATCTCCCAGTTTTTTGGGGTGATTCTTAATTAGTTTGGCATTTCCCTTCTCCTGCAGAGTTTTTATTTGAGGGTGGTGAATCTGAGGCTGCTTGGAGGCTGTTGATTTGTCGATGTTATTTATTTTTTGCAGCCTGACGGGCACCACGGTCCCCGACCTCATCGTCAGCACCCAGCACCAGATGTGGCTCCTCTTCCAGACCGACAGCGTCAGCAACCTGCTGGGCTTCAAAGCCACCTATGAAGGTAGCCCAGGCTCCTCCCTCCCAATTCCCCTTTTCCCAGAGGATCAGGGACCAGCTGAGTGCAGGGATTTGGGAGAAAAGGGAGCTCCTCTGTAGGAATCTGGTATTGATGATTCTGAGA